GCATACAGCAACTAGAAGGATGTGCAGCTACGACATACAACTATCCACTGCGGCTTTGGGGGGAAAAAATAAAATAAATAAAATCTTAAAAAAAAAAAAAAAAAGAAAATGATTCCACTTAGAATAGCATTGATGGGGTTCAGGACACACTATCCCAAAATATGGCACCTTGGCATACTGAATATTTTAAGCTGAAGAAGTTTGAGAAACCAGCAGAAGCAGGAAGGTGACTCTGACATTCCCCCACCCTTCTTCCCTCAAACAAGTCATAAAACCCTCATGTAAGAGGTCCCCTCCCCATACCCAGAGGAAAGGAGCATCCTTATCTCCAAAGACAAAGGGACACTGAGAAGAATCCTAACAAACAGGCCTTGCTAAGTTTCTCCCAATACTATGCTTACCTCATACTCCTTGACCTATCATATTCCTCCACAACTATCCACTTTTCATCAAATCTAGCATAAAAATGCTCAGGTCTAACTGATTCTTTGGGTCTTCATTTCCTTATGAAATCTCTCGTGTCAACATAAAACTTATATTAAATAAATCTGTATGCTTTTCTCTTATTAATCTGTCTTTTTGGGCCAGCCCGGGGCTTAGCAGTTAAGTGCTCACACTCCGCTACTGGCGGCACAGGTTCAGATCCTGGTCGCGCACCGACGCACCACTTCTCTGGCCATGCTCAGGCTGCGTCCCACATACAGCAACTAGAAGGATGTGTAGCTATGACATACAACTATCTACTGGGGCTTTGGGGGGAAAAAAAAAAATCTGTCTTTTTTAGTTTAATTTTCAGACCCAGCCAGGGACCTAAAGGAGATCGAGGAAAACTTCCTCCCTTACAGCATCAAAAAGAATAAAACACGTGAATAAATTTAACAAAAGAGGTGTAAAATTTGTATTCTGAAAACTATAAAGCACTGTTGAAATTAATGAAGGTCATCAAAAGTTCATGAATTGGAAGGCTTAATATTGTTTAGATGTCAGTACCCCCAAAATTGATCTACAAATCCAACACAATCCTTATCAAATCCAAGCGGCTTTTTTTTACAGAAATGGACAAGATGATTGAAAAATTTACACAGAAATTAAACAGCCTCAGAATAGCCAACACAATCTTGAAAAAGAAAAAACTGGAGAAGTCACTTTTTTATTTCAAATTTTACTACAAAGGTATAATAATAAAGACAGTGTGATATTGGCAGAAGTTTAGTGATTCAGAGCAATGTGAACAGGAGTCCAGAAACAAAACCTTACCCATTTTGACAAGGGTGCCAAGATCACCCGATGTGGAAAGAACAGTTTTTTTCAACAAATGGTGCTGGGACAACTGAATAATCTCGAGCAAAACAATCAAGTAGGACCCCTATTTCACACCATACACAAACATTAACACAAAATGGACCATAAACCTAAATTTAAGAAGTAAAAGTATAGAATTCTCACAAGAATATACAGGAATATATCTTTGTGTCCTTCAGTTAGGCAAAGACTTTTTGAGTCTTTAATGTAAAAAAATAAAAAATAAATTGGACTACATCCAAATTAAAAACATTTGAGTTTCAAAGGATACCCTGAGAAAATGAAAAGAGGGGGCCTGCCCGGTGGTGCAGCAGCTGGATTCACGTGTTCCACTTTGGCAGCCCAGGATTTGCTGGTTCGGATCCTGGGTGAGGACCTACTCACTGCTCCTCAAGCCATGCTGAGGCAGCGACCCATGTAGAATAACTAGAAGGACCTACAACTAGGATATACTACTATGTACTGGGGGCTTTGGGGAGAAAAAAGTAAAAAAAGGAGGAAGATTGGCAACAGATGTTAGCTCAGGGCCAATCTTCCTCAAAAAAAAAAAAATTAAAACACAATGAATGGAAGAAAATAATTGAAAATCTTTGTGTGATAAGAGACATATCAACAATATATAAAGAACTCTTACAACTTAATAATAAAAAGACAACCCAAATTTAAATGGGCAAAAGAACTTAATAGATATTTCTCAAAAAATATACAGAAACAGCCAATAAGCACATGCAAAGATCCTGAACATCATTAGCCGTCAGGCAAATGCAAATCAAAGCCACAGTAAGATACCACTTCATACCCATTACGGGGGCTATAATCAAAAGGACAGATAAGCACTGGCAGGGATGTAGATAAATTGGAAACCTCATAAACTGGTGGTAGGAATATAAAATGGTGCCGCTACTTTGGAAAACAGTTTGGCAATTCCTCAAAAAGTTAAAGACAGAGTTACCATGTGCAGCAACAATTCCGCTCCTAGGTATATACCCAAGAAAATGTAAAACTTATTGTCCACACAAAATATTGACCATGAATATTCATAGCAGTATTATTTATAGTGGCCAAAAAGTGGAAACAAACCAAATATCCATCATCTGATAAACGGGCAAACAAAACGCGGTATATCCAAACAATGAAATATTATTAGGCCATAAAAAAGACTGAAGCACTAATTCATGCTATACAATAGATGAACCTTGAAAATATCATACTAAGTGAAAGAAACCAGACAGAAAAGGCCATATATTGTATGATTCCATTCAAATGAAATGCCCCAAATTGACAAATTCTTAGAAATAGAACATAAATTAGTTGTTCCAGACACTGGAGAGAGGGAGGAATGGGAAGTGACTGTGAACGAGTATAGGGTTTCTTTTTGGGGAAGTTAAAATGTTCTGGAATTAGACAGTTGTAATTGCTGCACAACTTTTTAAACATATCAACGTGAATTTGGTATACAGTACCGCGTGACAACCAAATGAACTGTACACTTTAAATGGATAAATTTTATGGTATGTGAATAATATCTCAATAAAGCTATTTTTAAAAACCAAGGTAGGGGCTGGCCTGGTGGTGCAACAGTTAAGTGCTCGTGCTCTGCTGCGGCAGCCTGGGGTTCACAGGTTTGGATCCCAGGCACGCACCAACGCACCGCTTGTCAAGCCATGCTGTGGCGGCGTCCTATATAAAGTAGAGGAAGATGGGCACAAATGTTAGCCCAGGGCTAATCTTCCTCAGCAAAAAAGAGGAGGATTGGCATCGGATGTTAGCTCAGGGCTGACCTTCCTCACAAAAAAAAAAAAAACAAGGTAAAACACAGGCATTCCTAGATAAAAATCAAATTCTTAATGCCCTTTCCTTTTGTGTGGCGCAGTTGCTGATATTTTTGTATTATTCTTCAATGTCCTTCTATGTGTCCTCAGCTGCAACATGTATTATTTTAGTAATTCCAAAATATATATATTACTGAAAAAAAATCTAAGTTCCTAAAAATACAAAAGGATACATTAAACCATAGTACTCTTTACAAAATACTATAAGGTTGTAACTAACTTCTAACCTCACAGTGAAATTTTTTCTTTTATAAATAAAAGAAAATAAATTGATACTTACTTAATTGCTTGGGCTCCTGGTCTCTGCACAATCAAAGTGCTAAATTCTTCTACTACAATATCTAACAGTTCATGTTTTTCTTGTTTTTCTCTTAGAACAATAGACATACTTTTCAAGTGAACAAAGAACTTCATGGCTTCAAACTAGAGTATATTCAGAAAAATAAAATGGAAAAAAGTATATACATATAAATATAATAAATACTCTTATTCATATAGTTTATTCTTTCCAAAGGCCAGAAAATACTTTAAAAACAACCCTAATTATATATGAAAGAATCACCACATAACACTACAAAGTAGGGGGCAATTTTTATTTCTACTTTGGAAATTAAAATAAATGTAATATTTATAGACCCAGAGAAAGATCACAGAACAAGTCAATAACAGGTATTTCTGAAGGGATTATAAATAGGCATATCTATCACTAACCTCCAAGGTATAAGGCAAAAAAACATCTTACTGTTTTGGGCAAGGTTGGATCAACTGCTGTTTCACTATAGCCAATTGCTTCATAGAGTGAAGTTTTTTCTTCAGGTGTCAACATTTCTTCAAGAACTACAAATCATAAAGAAGTGTTTTGTGTTCTGAACCGGTAACAAGATAAAACTAACCCATAATTTAGCTGCCTTTAATAAATTAAATACAAATTTTACTCTCTTTTTGTAATGCTCCTAAGAAATTATAATTACTGAATGTTAGGAAAGCATTGGTGATTGTAGAAGGATTATTCTCCAAAAATATAAATAGCTAAATATACATGAATTTAGCAATATGAATTTCTAAATATTTGTATTAAGCAAGAGCTTGCAAAATGTCTAACTGTATTAGGCACTCAGCATTGTGCTAGGCAACATATTTAGCATACAAAGTGGGTGGTATTAATATCATAATTTCCCCCCATTTTACAGATGATAAAATTGAAGTTTAGAGAGCTTAAATAATTTGCCAGGGCCACACTGCTAATAAGTGATAGAACCAGGATGTAAACTAAGGCCCCAAGCCTCCAAAGTTATGATCTTAAGCATTTGGTTAGGAAACAAAAATCTTTCCAAGAAACAATTTCAACAAAAATTTACAATGGTTTATATCCTTTTGGAATTTTTATTTATCTATTACTATATGCTATATGCATTTACTAAATCCTTTGGGCATAAAACTCTTTTGTAAACATTAGTAAGATAAAAAAAAAATTTATTTAGGGGCCAGCCCAGTGGTGTAGCGGTTAAGTGCACGTGCTTTGCTGCGGCGGCCCAGGGTTAGCAGGTTCAAATCCAAGGTGCGTACCAATGCACCGCTTGTCAAGCCATGCTGTGGCGGTGTCCCATATAAAGCAGAGGAAGATGGGTACCGATGTTAGCTCAGGGCCAATCTTCCTCAGCAAAAAGAGGAGGATTGGCATCAGATGTTAGCTCAGGGCTAATCTTCCTCACACACACACACAAAATTTAATATTTGACATATATATTTACAATGCTTTAATAGTAATTTTATTGATAATAAGGATAAATTATATATCATATGTATATATACCTACAATGTCTATTTTAATTAGAAAATTTTCTTCAAAACTTTATTTTCACATCTGATGATTAGCTATAGTAGCATAACCTGATGATTAAGGACACTACTATAAAATGAAATGGACATACTTCCAGGTTTAACATCTGGTTGTTCTTTAGTATTTGGTTCTGACCAAGTCCACAGCCAGCTAAACCATCCTTTATTATCCTCTGAATCTTTTGCTCCTTCTCTGTAAATCTTGTATCCAGCTTTCTTTACCTAAAATGAATGAGTTTCCATATAAATGACAAATTATCCTTTATTTAGCAATCTGAAGAAACAAAAGCATATTTCCAAAAATTATCTACTTGAGTGAATAAATGTAAACAATATACAGACTGACAACAGGACACAGTAACCGCAACATTACCCAAACATAAGAATTTAGGTTAACCAGGTAAGTATCTCCACTGTCTTAAAAGTGATGGTAATTGCAAAAAAAAAAAAAAATTGACTTTTCACTTCCATATGAACTCTGAGTATTTGATAAGCCCAATTATTTAGAAAGAATTTTTTTCCCATAGAAATTATCTGATTTAAATGGATGTGGCAAAACATTAAATCAAATTTTCTTCTAACACTAACAAGCAAATTTGAACCCCTTTTAGAAAACAGTATATTACAGCACACTACTAATAATATCACAGCATCTGTCAAATCTATATAGAATCTAGATTTATTTTTACTAATTGAAAGATAATTTGGAATTACCTCAACTTCTGCTTGTTGTCTGGATATAGTTATATTAAATACATCCAAAGTCTTTTCCAACTCCTATAAATATAAGAAAAAATGTGTTTACATAAATAACTTTATATAAATAACCTTACTAAATCTATAAAATTGCTGCATTAAAGAAAGGATATGACAGGAAGCAGAAAACAGATCATCCATCAACATAATATTCCTGTTAATTTCTGAGAAGCACTGTTAGTATATATGTCAGCTTGGAAATTAGTAATGATGGAGTAACTTTCTGAACAAAGAAATCACACGTCATGCATATAAGAGTTACAAATCTACAAGATTTACAGATACTAAAAGACACCACCCATGCATTGTTTAAAATGACTTTTATTTCAGTTTTAACTACAGCTAAGGGTAAACACATTAGTGTCACTTTCAACTAAAAATACAACTATAAATCCTTCATGTTATGTTCACAGTTCACAGTATGTCATCATTAAGATATTCCAAGTAGATCTAGATACACCTAAAACTTTTTTTTAAATTTTACACTTTTCAAGGGCCAGCCCAGAGGCACAGCGGTTAAGTGTGCGCGCTCCGCTGCGGCGGCCCGGGGTTTAGATCCTGTGTGCGACCAACGCATCGCTTGTCAAGCCACGCTGTGGCAGCATCCCATATAAAATGGAGGAAGATGGGCACGGATGTTAGCCCAGGGCCAGTCTTCCTCAGCAAAAAGAGGAGGATTGGCGACAGATGTTAGCTCAGGACTAATCTTCCTCACATACACACAAAAAAATTTACACTTTTCAAAGTTGTTAGGGCTGTTGAAATAAAATGAGATAAGCTAAATCTTCATTATATTTATACATTATTTCCATGATTACTTTTGAGAGTTTCATCCTCAAACCATTTTTCCCCTCAAAGAGAAGCAACCATGACCTAGTTTTATCTAGAAAACAACTTAACTCAGGGTTCTACTGTTCAGTAGACTTGGAGGATTCAGATTAAGATCCAAAACTAAGTAAGGAAACCTGTAACCACCCCAAAAGGCCTCTAAACCCAAGCATTCCTAATAGCATAGGTCTTCAGAAAGTCTCCTACCTCAAAAATAAAAATAAAACTCAATCTTTAGGGAGTTCCTAATTGGAAACTGGTCTGGGTTCAGAATGGTTACATCAATTTCAAGAGGCTAACTCCCCTTAGCCTCCCTAAGCTGTACTTCATCCACCTGTAAAACAGCCTCTTCTAAAACATACCATAATGCTAAAAGATAAAACAAGATTAATATTTAGAGAACTCTCAAGACAGATAATTAAATGTCAAGTTGCTGGTAAAGACTAGAAATGGCATAAGAATTAAGAGAATAAGAGCTCTGTACGGGCAGAAAATTCAGGAAAGTTTGTACAAGAGATGGGACTTAAGCAGAACTTGAAGGATGAATAAAACTGGGATAGGCAGAGAGATGAGAAAAGGCAGATGGAATACATAAGCACAGACTTAGCTATAAGTATAAGCATAATACGTATAGAAGAGGAAACATTTGATTAATGCACAGTCAGATGGTAAAGAAATGGAGTGGTGACAGATAATGTAAAACTCTGAAACTGACACAGAGAAGACTGGAATCAATGTAGCAAACACATTTTAGGTTTGTGAGGTTAGGAAGGTCATAATAATGTGGGGCTCAAATAAACAATCTAACACTATACCTAGAAAAAGAACAAACATCATAATGTGAGGCTTCAAGTTACTATTTGCATGAACCCAAATCGCTACAGATTAAGAATAATTTCAAATTCCAAAAGCTCACAGGAGAATATCACCAGAGCTTATATCACCCAACTGAAGTTAAGAAGAGGAGCATGAAAAAGTCTAATTAAAAAAGAGATAGGTCAGTCAAAATTAGAGCGAATAAGTAGGAAGTGTTAGTCACTAAAGACTGAGGAGTTATGTAGTACAAAATATTCAACAATTTTTAAAATGCTAACCTCCAAAGAGATGAGAAGTTCACCAGATGGCTTCTTACTTATTAGCCTTTTTTTATACAGTTCTTTATATTGCTTCATTTTTTGCCTGTGTTCGCTAATATGCTTCCATGACCACATTCGTAAGCGGGGACCAACATTTACTTCAAGAATACCATGTATAGCATAAGCCCACCTAGTTAAAAAACAAAAACAAAAACAAAAACCCCACTTAACACGCTCAAACCAACAGTATGAAATATAATTGATAATGCTTCTTCTCTAACAATATTCATTACTATAATACAGAGACTACAAAAATGGTATATTATCTGAGTACTTGCTTTTTCCCAACGCTATCTGTATTAACAACATATGAAAACAAAAACAAATGAAACAACATATGAAAATGAAAACACTAACTCAACAAGATATATGCACCCCGATGTTCACTGCACCACTATTTAAAATAGACAAGATATGGAAACAACCTAAGTGTCCATTGATGGATGAATGATAAACAAAATGTGGAATATTTTTACAATGGAATATTATTCAGCCATAAAAAGGAATGAAATCTTGCCATTTGTGACAACATGGATGGACCTTGAAGTCATTATGCTAAGTGAAGTTAAGTCAGGCAGAGAAAGACAAATACCATATGATCCCACTTACATATGGAATCAAAAAAAACAAAAACAAAAAACCACACTCACAGACGCAGAGAACACATCAGTGGTTGTCAGAGGCAGGGGGTGGGGGGTGGCTGAAATGGGTTAAGGGAATCTAAAGGTACAAACTTCCAGTTATAAAATAAATAAGTCATGGGGATGTAATGTACAGCGTGGTGACTACAGTTAATAACACTGTATCGCATATTTGAAAGTTGCTATGAGAATAAATCTTAAAAGTTCCCATCACAGGAAAAAAAAAATTTGTAACTATATATGATGATGGACGTTAACTAGACTTATTGTGGTTATCATTTTGCAATATATACAAATATTGAATCATGTTGTACACCTGAAACTAATATAATGTTATATGTCAATTATACCTCAATTTTTAAAAAATTTAAGTCATTTTACCATTCTCTGGCATGGTAGTGAAGAGGTACATCAGGTTTGAATTTTCTATATGGTAGATTTTGTGTCATCATATCAACTGATTCAAGAAGCTCCATAACACTGAAATACTGAAAAGTAAAAAAATTCAAGTTCTTAAATGTTTCAGATTTTACATTCAGTTGTTGAAGACAAAAGTTACATTACTGACTTTTTAAAGAAAATGTTACCATATAACATTATGAATTTTTGAAAAATATTTAAAATCTTAGTTCTGCTTTTATCAAACTATAACTCACAATTTAAAATTTTGTTTAAAAAAATCACCTGAAGTTTATTAAATTCAATTGCTATGTCATGTAACTCAACATCCAGATTTATCTTGGGGGCAGAAAAGTCAAAATCCGATCTGCGATTCATCTGAAGTTTGGCAATAGCAGATATGGGACGAAATACTGGAAAATAATACAAATTTTAAAAAATTAAATTGAGTTAAATTGAGTTACATTTCAAAAGTCTCAAAGCACTAAACGGATCAAGTTTAAAACACTGAATTTCACTTCCTATATACCCGTCTACAATTCCCAGATTTCCACACTGCTGTGATTTGGTCAGATGGACTGTCACCTTATTAGTCGAGAAGATTCTTTTACTTTTTTCCTACCTTTAATTCATATTGTCTTTTTTTTTTTTTATTTTATTTTATTTTTTTCCCCCCAAAGCCCCAGTAGATAGTTGTATGTCATAGCTGCACGTCCTTCTAGTTGCTGTATGTGGGACGCGGCCTCAGCATGGCCGGAGAAGCAGTGCATCTGTGCGCACCCGGGATCCGAACCCTGGCCGCCAGCAGCGGAGCGCACTCACTTAGCCACTAAGCCACGGGGCCGGCCCCATACTGTGTTCTGTAAGCACAATAAATGCTAAGTGAACTCCCTCTCAAAACACCAGTATAACCCTTAAAAGCAGGAACATTCTCTAAATGGCAAATAGTCCAATAAAACAGTTTTAATAAAGTACAGTTTTAAGGAATGAATGTACATTAGAAATGCTAAGGAGAAAGAAGATTATATTTAACCACTGACTTTCATTATATAATTCTAATTTCTGAACAGTTTCTCTGTATCCATGCATTCCCCCTTTTTTAACTTGTAAAAGGAGGAGAGAAAAAATGAGTGCAAGTTTGCCCAGTATAACCTTCTTGGTGCAACCCATAATCTAAGACAAATTTCTCTCAATCCATTGTATTAGTCTCAAAGGGAATAAGAATAATGCAGACGGAGACCAGTAATAGCAGAATCTAGACAGATATCAACTATTACATTATAAGCTAATATATATACAAAGATAATATATTCCTTTTGTTGTAATCAGTCCCACGGCATAACATTTAATTTTTTACACATTAAGCATTCAAAAATACTTTTAATTTGAACAGAACAAGAAGATATCCATCAATAGGAGATGGGTTGAATTCATTATGGTACATGATATAATAGAATAGTATACAGTTAAAAATGAGAAAAATTTATATGTACATAAATGGAAGGATATACGAAGAGAAAGTTTAAAAAGTATATGTATTGGGGCCAGCCCTGGTGGCCTAGTGGTTAAGATCAGCATAAGATCAGCATGCTCTGCTTTGGCAGCCCGGGTTCTGTTCCCAGATGCAGACCTACACCACTTGGCTGTCAGTGGCCATGCTGTGGTGGCAGCTCACGTACAAAAAGAGGAAGACTGGCATGGCAGCGAATATTGGCTCAGGGCGAGTCTTCCTCAGCAAAAAAAAAAAAAAAAAAAAAGCAGATATATAAAGCAATAACATCAGTATTCGAAAAATAAAATTATTCCTCTTCCCCAGCTTTAATTCTTCTGTTACATGCCAGACTACATCACCCACTATACCTTCCCTGATTGCAATCAAGTATCCTTCCCTGGGCTATACCTTCTCCTACCTCTCTGAGATTTTAGCTCCTGGCAACACTAATTTCTGAGTGATTTCAATATACAAATGATCTTTTCAAAACCATGGCCTCTCAGTTCCTTGAACTCCTCCACCCTTACTTCATCCACAAAACTTTATCAAACTGATATCCTAGACCTCTCCATAATCTCAGTCTCAAGCATCTAACTCTTCTACTACCACCACCACCTATCTCTCTAGGTCCTTTAATGTTATAAATCTCAAGTAGGTCCTTAACGTTGCTGAGCAATCACACACACTCCTTTAGTCCAGGGATAGGCCAAATCCATACCATAGCCTGTTTTTATACAGTCAGTGATCTAGGAATGATTTTTATACTTTTAAAGAGTTATTTAAAAGAAACAGAGAAGAATATGCGACAGAGGTTGTATATGGCCTACAAAATGTAAAATATTTAATTTACTACATGGCTCTTTACAAAAAAATATTGGCCAATTCATACTGTAGGCCAGTGGTTCTCAAACTTTAGTATTCATCAGAATCACCAGAAAAGCTTGTTAAAACATAGATTGTTGAGCTTCACTCTCAGGGGTTTTGATTCAGTAGGTCTGGGATGGGCCCTAGAATTTATATTTCTAACAAGTTCCCAAGTGATACTGATGCTGCTAGTCTGAACCACACTTTGAGAATACTGTTCTAGTCAATTCAATCTCTCATTCCCCTACATTACTATTTCACAGCCTCTCTGCCCTCCAAAAACCTCTAAGACCTCAGATATTAAAATATATATATATATATATATATAAAAAAGCTCAGATGAGAAATTCCATAAACTCCTATCACCATATCTATTTGTCCACTCAATATCAGGACTTCTCTCTTATAACTAAAATCTATCTTACAAATGAACTGACTATGCTCCTATCTGTGGCAAAGGACTCCTCTTGTACACTAGATCCCATCCCCTTTCACCCATATCAATACAGAAATTAGCTGTTCCCTCTCTTGCTTCATTTATTCATGTTCTATGAATCATTCCCTACTTAGCCTATGAAAAAACTGTTATCTCTCCCATTAAATAAAAGAACAAAAAGAAACCCTTCATTCCTTCTTCCCCCTCCAGCAGGTATGCCACTTATCAATTTATTGCCTGTGAGCTCCAAATTCACCCTTCATTGCCTGCTCTAAAAACTAAATTTGGGCCCTTTAAACTTTTTTCTTTATCAGTTAACATAGTGTTAATCTTGATCAATAGAGGACACTAGAGAGACATTGTAGGAAGAAGTTATGCTTCATAGTTCTAATGTGTTCATTTAATCAACTCCTGTAGTGCCATGGCTTCTCTAACACCCAGCTCCTACAGAAGGTGGCTTCTCCAGTGCCTGGCTCCTGCCACATGATAGATTTCTTCAGTACCAGCCTCCTCCACTGCATGGCAGCTAGCAACATCCAGCAGCCAGCAAATTCTCCCAGCACTCTGCTAAGGCAGTTTTGTAGCAGAGTGCCTCTCATGAGTCAACTCTCCATAAGGCTTCCTAAAGGATAAATTTCCACAAAATTCCTGAGGGCAAATTTCTAACAAATTTTGCTGGCATGGCACCACAGAGACTGTCCTGCCATTCAGTGAGCCGTGGCCATGCCCTTTCCAATAGGGTCTAGATCTCAGTGCTGAAAGAGGCAGACCCTCTTCTTTGGGCACTTCATCTTAATCCCAGGGTAGAGGCTGTTCCTTCTATACTATTCCTATATTCTTTAGAGTTCTCTCTACTTTTTATTACCCAATTCTTTGTTACTCCAATCAGCTGTTATAGCTAATAATTCTTTATATTAAATTTTCCCTGCTCATATTACATATGGTTTCTGTCTCCTCACGAGACCCTGACTGATACAGGAGGAAATGACAGTGGGGCAAAGAAAAAATAAGTCAAACCTAAAGTGATAGATTTGAGAATCAACAACACACATGATAGACAATCTCATCTGTTCTTAATGTTTCCTTTGAGAAGAGAATCAAGAAAAAGAAACCAATTGAAAACCATGAAAATGGTATTTTAAGAGTGAGCACAAGAAGAGCCACTTTAGGAAATTAATAAAGAATAGTCATGAAGGTAGAATACAAAAAAGTATCACTGGTTAATGACATCAGACAGCCAAATCCAAGAACTAAGTTTTCCAGCACCAATCAATATTTATTGAGTGCCTTCAGGGAAGAAGAAACAGCACTCCTTTTCTCTACATATTTTACTAACTCATTTCTGATTATAAAAGTACTACATGTTCTTTTCAGAAAATTTGGAACCAGAAAAAAGTATAAAGAAGAAAAATTTTAAATATACATTTTTAAAATAGTAAGATCGCACTACAGACTGTAGCAGCTAGCTTTATTAAATTGTATTTTCCATGTCAAAATGTCTTTAAAACATTATCATAATTGTTATTGAATAACTCTTAGAGATTTACCACAATTTAATAACATTCTCTCTTGTTGGACATTTTCTTTCCTATAGAAATACAGCCAAAAGCTCCAACAACGAATGACAGAAAAAATAAGTGTTTTGTTTTTGCATATATAAATACATTTAATTACATAAGAAAATTAACATGAACTAGCACAATGATATTAACAATGTTCATTTAAAATTTATACTGATTAATTGCACTTTTTATTTTATGAAATGTACTTACCAAAATCATAACCTTCTGGAACAATATTTTCATAGACAATGCCATTTTTCAAGCTGTCCTATTAAAAGACAAATTGCTTTTATTTATATTCATGCCAATATACCTTTAACCTACAAAATCCTATTATATGCAAAGAAAAATGTTTCAAAGCAATTAAAAAAAATAACTCAAACTTAGGACTTAGCTATGGAAAATATTACAGCAGTTAGACAATATCTCATTAAACTACTATTATAAAACAATGCTCCAGGATCTATTAAGATATATGTGTGTGTTTACACATGTTTGTGTGCAGGCACACATACAAAATTTGAGGAAATTCAACATCCATTTATGATAAAAACTCTCAACACAGTGGTATGGAGGGAACATGCTTCAACTTAATAAAGGTCACATATGACACGTCCACAGGTAACATCACACTCCACGTGAAAAGCTGAAAGCTTCTCCTCTAAGATCAGGAACAATACAAGCATGCCCACTCTTGCCACTTTTATTCAACATAGTACTGGAAGCCCTAGCCAGAGCAATTAGGCAAGACAAAGAAATAAAAGTCATCCAAACTAGAAAGGAAGAAGTAGAATTGTCACTCTTTGCAGATGACATGATAGTATTTATAGAAAACCCTAAAGACTCCACCAAAAAACTGTTAGAATTAATAAATGAATTCAGTCAAGTTCCAGGATACAAAATCAATATACAAAAATCTGTTGTTTCTATACACTAATAACAAACTATCAGAAAGAGAAATTAAGAAAACAATCCCATTTACAACTGCATCGAAATAGCCAAAGCAATCCTAAGAAGCAAAGCTGAAGGCATCATGCTCCTTGATTTCAAACTATATTACAAAGCTATAGTAATCAAAACAGTATGATATTGGCATAAAAAGAGACACACAGATCAATGGAAAAGAATAACGAGCCCAGAAATAAACCCATGCAACATGGTTCATTAATTTACAACAAAGGAGCCAAGAATACATAACGGGGAGAGAACAATCTCTTCAATAAATGGTGTTGAGAAAACTGGACAGCAACATGAAAAGAATGACACTGGACCACTATCTTACACCATAAACAAAAATTAACTCAAAATGAATTGAAGACTTGAATGTAAGATCTGAAGTCATAAAACTCCTAGAAGAAAATTTAGGTGGTAAGCTCCCTGACATCAGCCTTGGTGATGATTTTTTTGGATCTGACACCAAAATCAAAGGCAATAAAAGCAAAAATAGGGGGCTGGTCCGGTGGCGCAAGCCATTGAGTGCGCGCGCTCTGCTGCGGTGGCCCGGGGTTTGCCGGTTCATATCCCGGGTGCGCACCAGTGCACTGTTTGGCAAGCCATGCTGTGGCAGCGTCCCATATAAAGTGGAGGAAGATGCGCATGGATGTTAGCCCCGGGCCAGTCTTCCTCGGCAAAAAAAAAAAAAAAAAAAAGAGGAGGATTGGCAGATGTTAGCACAAGGCTGATCTCCTCACATGCACACACAAAAAAAGCAAAAATAAACAAGTAGGACTACACAATCTAAAATGCTTCTGCACAGCAAAGGAAACCATCAACAAAATGAAAAAACCTACTGAATGGAAGAAAATATTCATGAATCATATATCTGATAAGGGGTTAAAATCTAAAATATATAAAGAACTCATACAACTCAAGAGCCTAAAAACAAACAATCTGATTAAAAAATGGGCAGAGGATTTGAATAGATATTTTTCCAAAGCAGACATACAGATGGCCAACAGGTACACAAAAAGATGCTCAACATCACTAATCATCAGGGAAACGCAAATCAAACCACAAAGAGATATCATCTCACACCTATTAGAATAGCTAGTATCAAAAAGACAAGAAATAACAAGTGTCGGCAAGGACGTGGAGAAAAGGGAACCCTTGTACACTGTTGGTGGGAACAGAAATTGGTGTGGCCACTATAAAAAATAGTATGGAAGTTCCTCAAAAAATTAAAATAGACTACCATATGATCCAGCAATTCCACTTCTGGGTATTTATCCAAAGAAAACAAAAACATTAACTTGAGAAGATATATTCACCTCCATGTTCACAGTAGCGTTATTTACAATAGACAAGATATGGAAATAACCTAATTGTCCATCAGTGGATGAATGGATAAAGAACATATGGTGTGTGTATATATATATATATATATATATACACAATGGGATATTACGCAGCCATAAAGAGGAATGAAATCTTGCCATTTGCGACAACATGGATGGACCTTGAGGGCATTATGCTAAGTGAAATAAGTCAAAGAAAGATGAATACTGTGTGACCCCACTTAAATGTAGAATCTCAAAAAAAAAAACAAAAACAAAAAAAAACCAAGGTCATAGATACAGAGAACAGACTGGTGGTTGCCAGAGGCAAGGGGTGGGGATGGGTGAAATGGGTGAATGGAGTCAAAAGGTACAAACTGCCAGTTATAAAATAAATAAGTCATGGGGATGTAATGTACAGCATGAAGACTATAGTTAATAATACTGTATTGCATATTTGAAAGTTGCTAAGACAGTAAATCTTAAAAGTTCTCATCACAAGGAAAAAAATTCGGTAACTATGTATGGTGATGGATGTTAAATAAAACAGACTTACTGTGGTGATCATTTCACAATATATACAAATATCGAATCATTATGTTGTACACCTGAAACTAATATAACAATGCTTGTCAATTAAACAAACAAAAAAAAGATATACGTGTGTGAGTTTACACATGTTTGTGTACAGGCACTTACATATTCACCTATTTTTGTAGATTCTACTAATGGACTCTGGCTAGAAAAAGACGACCACTGACCACAGTATGTTAGATAAATGACAATGAATAAAACCTTACGCAAGATCTGATACCAACAAATAAGTACATATATATATCAAAAAAATTTACTTACCAATGATTCATCATAATCATTAAGATAAAACATCTGAGACTTCACATTCCAATAGGCAAAAAGGTTATCCAATCGGATTAACTGAAAATAAATCAAGTTTATTATATGTCACGTTCTCTTTGAAGGATCTTTAACATATGCTATTTTAAGAAGTCTCAAATAATTGAGTCATATAACAGAGTCAAGCAAGTAAACACAAGTCACATAAATCCTTATCTATACATTACCATTTGCCTTTCTAAAAGTCTCTTGTCAAGTCCATGGATTGACAAAATATAATATTTGTTTATTTTACCTTACGAAATAGTTTCTCACTTTCATCATGTAAATAAGGAACCCAGTACTGATCAGTGGTCTGAAAAGGAAAAAAAAAAAACAGCAGTAAAAATGTCATTTACATGTGAAATGGCAGTGATAAATCATATCTATCATACTCTAGACCAATTTCCCATGAAAATGTCCTTGAAAACATAACATTCAGTCAAAGAATATTAACTGACCACAAGAAGTCTCTGCTTTCAAGGCGCTCACTGCTGGTTGAAAAACCAAACAAGTAAATAAGGAATTAAAAACAGATAAGTGTCACTACAAAGGTTAAATACATAGTACTCTGGGAGAACATGGTAGGAGTCTAAACTCAGGGGTATGCTGGAGAATGTGATGTCTAACTTAATATATGACAGAAATTTCTGAACAGAAATTACTGATTCTAAGGTCAACAGGAAATATGATTCATAGTAGGAAGATATGCAAATATAGGACATGTTCAGGGAACTGAAGTAGCCCAGTATGGCCAAAGAAGGTAATGCAAAACAAAGAGAAGAAGTGAAACCAGATATGTTACCTGGGGTCAGATTACAAAGGGATTATAAACTATTTTAAGACAAAACTATGGACTTTATTCTAAGAGCAATGAAAAGCCACTAAGGGGAATAAAGTGATCAGATGCTTATTTTAGAAAGATGGTTTCATTTTTTTGTAGAGAATTGAATGGAGAACAGTGCTTCTCAAACTTTAGCATGCATTAGGATCACCTGGAGGGCTATTTAAAACATAGATGGCCAGACCCCAACCTGAGTTTCTAATTGAATAGGTCTGGGCTGGGGGACAAGTTTCCAAGGACCTCCAAGGTGATGGTTAAAAACCACTGCTGTTGCAGTTACCAATGACCTTCACATTGCCAAATCCAATGGCTAATTCTTCGTCCTTATTTTTCAACCTAACTGCAGCACTTGACAGTTTACCCTACCCAACTTGACTGAAGTTATTGAATAACTTTTCATTTGGCTTTCCTTTTTTCTTTTTTTTTTTGCTTGCAGTGGATCCACGTTTTAAAAAGAAATCGTACACAAAAGTCCAATGGCTATAATAAACAAAAGCATGTACCGAAATACTATACAGCGTGAAGTGAATTTCAAGTGGCAATGGAGATAAATGTCAAAATCATTATGAAGAGAAAAGGGAAACTTATAGAAGAATCACGCAAAATACTTATGTAAACTTTTAAAAACTTACCCAATACTATACATTTTTAATGGATATATTAATATAAAAGTTTAAAAACTTAGATGTTTATCTCTGGGGTGGGAGTAGAGAACAAAAGGGATTTAAACTTTATTCATAACAGTATATTCTTTAAAAGTATTTAAAACTTAAACCAAATGACAAATTCAACAATTGTCCATTCTGGATGCAAGCAAATGTTTCATAATCTTCTATGTGCTCTCATACTTTTAAAATTCATCAATTTGAAAAATGATACAGGAATAAAGTATGCCACAATATTAACAATGATGGTGAGGAAATGGGTGATTTATTTCTTTATGCTTTTCATGACTTTCAAAGCTGCTGAAGTGAACATTTATTACTTTTATTTCGTACTTATTCATTTAAAACTCAGAAATAGATTTTTTTAAGTAAAAAAGTACCAAATATAATAATTAGCATAATAGGCTCTCATATTTTAAACTAAATTTGATTATCAACCATTTTTTGAAATGTGAAACTATCTATCTACCCTCAATTCCATTCCAGTGTATGCACTTTTTGTACCAATTCTACATAGACACCTATTTCTGATGCTGGCATACATGAATAGTAATTAGCAGTTTGATTAACTATACTGCACAATTAAATATGGTTACATTTCTTTTTAAACAAAGTACCTGCATGCTGAGATTCTGAAGGGAAATACCAAATGAGAGTGGGTTGTCCCGATTTGTGATCTAAAGAGGAAAGAGAGTAAATTTTATTCAGATTTTCAGTAGCTGGACAAAATTCACTTTATAGAAAAAGTTCACTTTCTGGGAAGTATGCTATTTCAAACATTCAAAACATCTTACTTTCTGGAACAACTTTTATTTCTATATTTTTCCTAATACCAATTAAAATATTAAGTATCGGGGCTGGCCCCGTGGCGTAGCAGTTAAGTGTGCGTGCTCCGCTGCTGGCGGCCCGGGGTTCAGATCCCGGGCGCGCACCGATACACCGCTTGTCAGACCATGCTGTGGCGGCATCCCATATAAAGTGGGGGAAGATGGGCACAGATGTTAGCCCAGGGCCAGTCTTCCTCAGCAAAAAGAGGAGGATTGGCAGGGATGTTAGCTCAGGGCTGATCTTCCTCACAAAAAAAAAAAAAAATTAAGTATCAATGTAGTAGTGTTGTACAATAATAATACATCTGCATAATGTTTTTCAGTTTACAAAAAAAAGTTTTATTTTAAAAAATGATTGACCCTCAAAATAGTACTATGAGAAGCCAATAATTATGTGTTTTAGAGAGAATACACGATCTATTTGAGATCAAACAATTTAGTTACATCTAGCTCTACTGATTCCTAGACCAGTGCTGTTTCTAGGAGGTAAATATAGTATAATTTAAAATATTTTAAAAATATGTAACTGCTAAATTCATAACTCCTACCTATCAAAGGTGATTATAATATAAAAAAGACACTTTCCTTCATTATCTGATGTTCGAACAGTTTAGGAAAGTGTAATCAAGGCACTAAGGACTGCAAATTACAACTATAATTATAGAAAAGAAGGATTATGTCATCTTCAGCTCTGTATCCCTCCACTTCCCAGCCTCTAACAGGTTGGCCACTATAGAGCAAGCAATAAACAGCAAAATATATATAAATATAAAAACAAGGATCACCTATTAAAATACTTACATCATCTTCATAACGAATATGGATGTTGGAAATTTTCACTTGAAGATTTTTTATGATCTGTGTAATTAATTTCTCTGTAAAAGTGTCCTGTTTCTCCACCCGTTGGTTTTCTACAATTGCAAATATTTATTTTTTAACTTGAATGAAAAATATACTCTATAACTATCCACATATTGAGGTAACATAAATGTTATCTTGTTAAAGAAAAAATCTGTATTTGCAAACAGAACACTAAAAGCCTGCTTTCCAAAGTCGGCCACACCAAAAACTTTCAAAGGCAACTAAACACACAGTTTTCAAAAGCTACTTTCTTGTTCAGTGAAACTAAAGCCAACTATGTAGAATTTATTGGCATTAAACTTTATAACTTCTCTCTGTTAACTATACCTGAGTACATAAAAACATGGAAAACAACTAAGATTATTAGGTAAGAATTATAATAGGCTTAAATTAGAAAAGCCAGAAACAGCAGCAAAAAAGGAATCTCCCTTAAAATTAGCAATACCATCATAATGTATAAAATAGTTGAATATGCTCCTCCCACTGATGAATACAAAATAGAAGCTATAAGACCCTTTCCCTCTACCCTTTCAAGCAAAGATGAAGGAAGTTCATCATTTGTTTCATTTTCTAAAAACACTATTAACTATCTCTAGTTTCAGTACTTCCCAGGGGAATAGAAAGCATAAAGAACTGAGGTTCTTAATTTCTTTTTTAATATGCCTTTGATAACCACTAGTTACTACCCCTTTTTCCCCTACTTGAAAATGCCAGTAAAACCTATCTCCTTTCCTATTTCTAGTCCAGCTCTAGCTGTATACACATATTATCTATCTTTTCCTCTAATGACCTACTACTACTCCCTAATTCAGCTGGGCCAGGAGGCCTTGGATAAAGAAAAGTTGATGAAGATATCACATGAACATCAAATGCAAGTGATAGGAAATGCAAGAGAGGTAAGTGAATATATTTGAATATAAAAGAACTTTGGAATTAATAAGTAGACAGTAGAATATAAGCTCTTTGAAGACAGAGCTTTTTATTTTAATCTTTGAATCCCACCACTCTTATAAAATCCTTTGCTCTATAAATTTATTCAGTCATTCAATTAAATGCTAAATCTTTCTTTCCCTATTGACTAGTTTCCTGCTGACTTCCTTATCCAGCTCAGATTCCATAATATATTATTTCACCAACACTTTAAACTCTTTTGCTCTTTTTTTCTCATTTTCCTCTGTCAATAAAACTCCAACCCCGAATAAAACCAACTATCTACTTTTTATATAAACATAGCTATGCCTTGCCAGGTGAGTACTGGAGGAGAAAATTACAACAGGACAGACTGGAATTACTGTAAACTGGTCATCACCAACTTCAACCAACCAACAACCTTATTACATTTCTCCAGTCAACTTGTTCACTCTCCAGAATAACTATTTCAAAATTCTTTTTGATTCTCCTCAAAAGTCCAACAACTCTTCCACTGCTCTCTTTACTCTTAGCAGATGATCTTGCCCCCAACTTTGGAAGAAACAGAAGCTCCTTGTCTGATATCATAATGCAATAAAAACAGCTATTTCTAAGGTGACCAATGACCTCCATGTCATAAATAAAATGATTACTTCTTAATCCTTGATTTACCTGTCTCAGCAGGATCTGATACATTCTTTGCTTCCTAAAACACCCTTTCATGATGGAATCATAATCTCCAAATTTCCTTCTACTTATCTGACCATTCCTTCTTGATCTTCTTTTTTTGTTTTCCTTCTCCATACAACCATTAAATGTTGGATTTCCTTAGGGCTCAGACCAAGGATTTTTTCTCATTTATACTGCTGCTGCAGGGAATCTCATCCACATCTTATAGCCTAAAATATCACCCTAATGCTGATAACTCTGATAAATCCAAAGGCCAAAAGAAAGAGTATAAGAGAAAGAATAAATAAGAGGTAGCTTCAAAAATTTAGAAGCTGGAAAGCAGCCAGCCTTAACTGATTTAGCATAGAGGAAAAAATTTAATCCTCAATGTCCATAGATGGAGATGCTAATAAAACACAAGATGAGTCAAAAAACAGAACCCTGGAAAGATTCAGGAACTGGAGTAAATGGCAAAGAGGGAACATGGTGGACGGAGAGGGTGATGATACAAGGATTGGTTTAAAGTCTGTATAATGAGCAGTTGGACTTCTACGTACCCTCCCTACCCCAGCCCACATAGCCAAGCAACTATCCCTTTCCCACTCTAGTGAGAAGCAAGGGTTTATTCTGGAGAAAATGAACCTGACAGGCTACAGACTCTGAAACCATGTACATGAAGGTACAGGGAGATCCATCTACCAAAAACAGACACATTAAGTAAATGTTCTACATAGTAAGCATTCACACCCACATCTACCTATTATTACCAAGCAAATAATAAAGTTGTGCCAGAAAAATATATGTAATCAGAGTAGACTATTTGGCTCAGTAGTAAACATTCATATATGACCATGATAATATAAACAAATACTGATTTAACTAAAAATATAACTATATTGGGAAGATGGAAAAATGGGTTTGATCTTCATAGTCCATAAAAGGAAGCCTATATATACATAAATAATGTATAAACATAATAAATCAAGTAGTAGAGGAGTAATCATCTTATGTAGCACTATGGAGATAAACACAAAAAACACCTTAAAAACTTGAAAGTAGATCTGTAGGGAGTAGGGTGAGGGGCTAAGCCAGGAAACAGAGTTTGTTTTTTTTTTTTTAATTATGGGTCCTATACTACTGTTTAACTTTTAAAGCTATGTATATGTATTATCTTGATAAAATAAAAATAATTTTTAAAAGGAAAAAGCCTAGGAGACTTAGGAAAGAGAAGACTGGAAGAAAGGAGGATTCTGGGGAAAATGGCAGGGTAGAAAACACCAGGAATCTGTCTTCTCATCTTAGAGAACAATTGAACAAGCAGAATCTGCCTAATATAAATATTTCAGAACTCTGGAGTTTACTGAAGACTTGCAACTTCAAGACAAAGGTTTGGAAAATGAATGGCAATTAATTTACATCAATTTTAGGTCTTAGCACAGCAGCAACTATCCCTCCCCTACCCCCAGGCTCATGGCAGGCAGCTATGCACTTATTCCTGCAGCAGCTTGCACACAACTTGCTGGAGCCAAGTTGAGCAGAAAGGACCCTATCCTCCAAATATTTGGAGATCTGTGCTCTAATTGCTGACTGCTGTTTCTGATCACAGAGGTGCAAAGAGAAAGGTGGCCACTGTTGTCATACCTTCCTCCATTTTTGCAAGCCCCTCATCCTCCAGCTGAAGTGACGACACTCAGGGGATTTAAAGGGCCAGTACCTTTTTTTCCCACCCCCTTCATTTTTCTCTTCTTCTCCTTTTGGGAGCAAAACATTAAGGACTAGGACATTCAAGAGCAACTGCATATATGGGGAAAATTAGAATGTGACCACACATGCTCAGGGAAAGGCACAGGCTCAGAAAAGACCTGAGACCTTAAGTTTATACCTCAGGCTGATCCTTGGCACAGAGACATCCTACAGTAATCAAAAAATAAATAAATAAATAAACAAAAGCAATAACAAAAAAACAGAAAACCACGGGAAGGGGGGGAATTTGATTTCCACAGACATCACATTATTAGATTCAAATGTCCAGTTTCCAATGAAAAATCACAAGGTATACAAAGAAACAGGAAAGTATAGCCCTTCAAAGTAAAAAAATAAATGAACAAAAACTATCCCTGAAAAAGACCTAATGACAGATCTACTAGACAAATTTTAACACAACTATAGACTAGGTGCTCTAAGAACTAAAGAAAGATGTGGAGAAAGTCAAGAAAACAATGTATGAACAAAATGAAAATATCTATAAAGAGACAGAAAACCTAAAGAGAAACCAAACAGAAATTCTGGAACTGAAAAGTACTATAACTAAAAGGAAAAATTCACTAGACAGGGGGCCAGCCCGGTGGTGCAGCGGTTAAGTGCACGTGCTCTGCTTCAGCAGCCCGGGGTTCACAGGTTCGGATCCCAGGCGCACACCGACGTACCACTTGTTAAGCTATGCTGTGGCGGTGTCCCATATAAAGTAGAGGAAGATGGGCACAGATGATAGCCCAGGGCCAATCTTCCTCAAGGAAAAAAAGGGGAGGATTAGCATCGGATGTTAGCTCAGGGCTAGTTCCCCTCACCAAAAAAAAAAATTCACCAGACAGATTCAAAGGCAGATTTCAACAGGCAGAAGAAAGAATCAATGAACTTTAAGACAGAACAATGGAAATTATCGAGTCTAAGGAACAGAAAAAAGATTGAAGAAAGGTGAACAGAGCCTAAGGAACCCACAGGACACCAACAAGCAGATCAACGTATGCATTGCTGGAGTCCCAGCAGGAGAAAAGAGAGAGAAACGGACAGAGAGAATATCTGAAGAAATAATGGCTGAAAACTTCCCAAATTTGAAGAAAGACAGGATTACATACATCTAAGAAGCTCAAGAAACTCCAAGTAAGCAGAACTCAAAGAAACTCAAAGAATACACATTATAATCAAATGTTGAAAAGCCAAAGATAAACAGAGGATCTTGGAAGCAGCAAGAGAGAAGCTACTTATCACATACCAGGGATCCTTAATAAGATTTTGAGCCGATTTCTCAACAGAAACATTGAAGGCCAAAAGGCAGTGGATCAATATATTCAAAGTGTTAAAAGAAAAAAACTTTCAATCAAGAATCCTATATCCACCAAAACTGTCCTTCAAGAGTGAGGGAGAAATCAAGACATTCCAAAATAAGCAAAAGCTGAGAACATTTGTTACCACTAGACCCACCCTACAACAAATGATGAAGGGAGTTCTGTAGGGTGAAATAAAAGGACACTACGCAGTAACTAGAAGCCATATGAAAAAAAATAAAGATCCCAACAAAAGAGAATACATGGACAATTTAAAAAGCAAATATTATTGTAAAAATGGTTTGTAACTCTACTTTTTGTTTTCTACATGATTTGAGAAACTAATATATTTATAAAAAAATTCTTAGCCTAAAAGCTAGCATTATGGTAACTTTGCTTTGTAACTCCACATGTCGTTTTCTACATAA